GAAGGGATGCTACCAGTGGAGTATCTTAGATGGCCGCTCACAGGCTTTTAAGACCCCAGACACTACTTACCAAGGTAGAATGTAGAACATTGTCTTTATAAACTGTGTCATGCCAATTGAGCTAGATGTTCCGAAGGGAAATTATTTTATTAACTAACACTGATATGATGGGCTTCTTATACATGCTATGCATATACAATTTAAAGTTCATGATTTTATATTCTTTGAAGTGTTGAAATGTTTATGCTCAGAAGAGGAAAATATATTTGTTATATGGGTATAGTATATATCATTGCTGATTTGCAGTTCAAAATGATGAACAATATCTATCATAAGAATTAATCAATGTCAGAGATAGGAAAGGGGACTCCATTTAGATTGTGATAATAGTGACTAAGACAGTAAATAACCAATACCCAGAGAACAACCTGAAACAGGTTGTCTGGACAAAGTACAGGTAGTCCTCGCCCTTTCCGATGACTCCATCATAAGTCTGTTTTTACATAAGTAGAATACCTCAGTTTTTTTTTAGTTTTCATTATTACTGACTTTTATTATCAGTATCTTTATAAATCCTATCTTCGAGCATCTGCAAGTGAACATCTGAGAATGATAAAATGAGGAAATTACGTGTTGCAACATTGTATGTAGTACATATTGCTAACAATAAGATGTACAAAAAAAAGAAAACACACAGAGTGCTGTAAGTGTGGTTCATTGTAACCTGAATACGCCATAAGTCGGGGACTACCTATATAGGACTTGTGATGCTGGCATTCACTGAGTGATGGCACAGTGCCAAGTGGATATGACATCCTGCTGAAACATTGCCATGACTAAGGGATGCTGAATCATTGCCAGAATGTCAACTACTTGCATCCTCTTTGCTTAGGTGAAATTTAAGCAGACTCTAATAATGGTGCAAGATTTAAAGTTTTCTCTGCTCTTATGTTTCATTAAATAATAGGCTAGAAAACATAATTAAAAGGAAATTCTCATTTTGTCCCACATGTGTATATTACTTCCTCACATTTTTTTTTTTATCCTTTCCTGTGGGTCCCATAGTATCATTCTGCCAAGCTTTTTACCATTCCAGCAGTCAGTACTGGCTACATAATGTGTAGGTCCCAGTACAAAAAGAAAATGAGAGGCTTCTTGTTCAAAAATTATTAAGAATATCAAGTTGGTGATAAACCCTTTGCCATGGAATCAAAGACTGCTGCATCTTTCTTTCTGGTGGGTTCAAACCACTGACCTTTTGTTTAGCAGCCAAGCACCTAACTACTGCGCCACCAGGGCTCCTTCAAGACAGTGATAGTAGTGCATTAAAAAAGCATGGGGTCCTTCTAAGTGGAGGATCTTATGTGATTGCATTGGGCGCATGCCCATAAAACTGGTCTTGCCTGCAATGTCATATGTTTCATTTTTAACAAGAAAACCTTGCCTTCGTCAGTGACCAGATTCATTTTTTTTAGGATTGCTGTCCTCTTGATGGTATATAGTAAACCTGGAATATTTGGACAAATGCCTTATTTCTTTTTACTATCATCCCACAAGGAGCCCTGGTGGTGCAGTGGTTAAGTGTTTGGCTGCTAACCAAAAAGTTGGCAGTTCGAATCCACCGACTGCTCCTTGGAAACCCTATGGGGCAGTTCTACTCTGACCTATAGGGTTATTATCAGTCAGAATCGACTCGACAGCAGTGGGTTTTTGTTTGTTTGTTTTTTGTCATCTTCCAAAAGTAAATTCCATATCACTTTTTAAAGTCCTGTACTTTCATGGCACTTTTTATGTTTTCTGCATTGTATGTCCAGCTTAAAATAGAACTGCTGGGGACTGTGTTATCTCTGATCAATCACAAATTTGTTACATCAATAAATAGGAATACCAACCTTTAAGAGTAGGATAAAAGCTCTTCCATTTCAACTTACATTTTGTAGAAGTAGTATTACATTTTTCATTATGATAAATTCCCAGGGTTTGCTTTAAATATTTATAAAATCAACATTTGCTGAAAATGTTTCTATTTAATACTTTGTTCTTCTGTGCCAAAGTATTTCATACTTTGTTTTTCTGTGGCAAAGTTTAAATTTACAAGTTTTAGTAAAACATCATTAGGCTAATAAAGAATATGCACTTTTATGCTAATATTGAACATATTTCTGTTGGTTTTTTTGTGCGCTTTTAACATTTTAATTTCTTATTAGAACTGTGGGAATAGACTTTGGAGAAGTAAGAGCAATACACTGGATATTCCCGATCCTTGGACTCCCACAGGCACCACTTCCTAAATGCCCTCCAGGTATGTAAATTTTAGAGTCAGAGAACATCAGGATTCTAAGGGACCTTAACCAAACAACCAAACCGGTTGCCATCGAGTCATAGCGACCCTATACAACAGAGTAGAATGCCCCATATGCTTTCCAAGGAGCGCCTGGTAGAATCGAACTGCAGGCCTTTTGGTTAGCAGCTGTAGCTCTTAACCAGTATGTCACCAGGGTGACCTTAGAGGACCTCTAATCTCATCGCTTCTTTGTACAGATAAGAAAATTGAAGTCCAGGAAAAGTAAGTAGTGAAGGGACCAGCCCTATTGGTGAGAGAGCTGGGATGTGAACCTGGTCTCCCGACAGTGATCTTTCCACAAAACCACACCATTTCCTGTTGCCTTCTTTTTGGTGAAACCCAGATATCAGCTAAGGTTGAAATAAAATTAACTTCAGGTCCCCTTATCCCACATTCTGTGAGGCGCTCAGAGTCCTGCCCTAGATCTATAACATTCCCAGGGACTTTCGTCCTCAGGTCACTTTTTATCATCGTATTTCCACTTCTGTGCAACTCTCAATCTCATCTAAGAATTATCCTATAGGGATGCTGGTCCTTCTGTTCTCAGTTGTCTCAGACACAAAACCTTTACGATGCTCTCTAAAAACTAGTCAGGATGTACTGAAGTTTTGGGGAGTTTCACTTCACTACCATGCACACAATATAAAATCCCTGCTCTTATAAAATGCCTTTATTTTTCTCAATGACCCCTGTTCTCCACAGACTTCAGGCTTCTGTAAGGTTTGTGGGTGTCCTCTTTCCTCAATACTCTCCTCACATCTTCTACATTCCTTGATTTTTCCCATTTCTTCTCAGGATCAACCTAAGAAACACAATTCTTCTTAACAACCATACAAGGAAATTTAGAATCCCAGCCCCTTACCTGATTCTGGTGTAGTTCTTCTGCATTAAAAAAAAAAAAAAATTGCCATTGAGTTGATTCTGACTCATAGCGCCTCTATAGCACAGAGTAGAACTGCCCCATAGAGTTTCCAAGGAGCGGTTTGTGGGTTCAAACTGCCGACACTTTAGTTCGCAGCCTAGCTGAATTTCTCTGCAGAGCAAAGGGGTATGTATTTTGGCTCTCACCCTTGAGTAAAATTGATGCACTGGCAGAAGCCTTGAAATTTTGTATTTTCCTTCTCCCTTCAATACCAATCTTTGCAAGTAAAAATGAGTTAGTCTTTCACTGACATAAATTATGTCACCACACTTAGAAAGAAAAACTAGTCCGTTTTGCTTATAAATGGCATCATTTCCCCAGATACACTGGTTATAAAAAAGACTAGGATTACATACTTCTTTACATAGTTTCAATTTTAGCTGGAATAAAAATTTACACTTCTAGCAGTACCTTTAACAATAAATGTCATTTGTTTTACTTGAAATGTTTTTACTCTTGAGTTAAAACAAAAAAAAAAAATCAACCCATATAAATATTTCAGATATATTAAATTGTCTTCAGAATGCTTCACAAACACGTCAGAATGTTGCTTTTATTTCCTTTTGGAAGACAATTCACTGAATACTCTTCGTGGAGCTGAACAGTTTATAATTTATAACACACAGTCATCTGATCAAAGTGATGTAATAAAGCCTAGACATTGCTCTGTCGGAATTCTAACAATAAAGTTGCTCTTATCTACTGCACGTATAGTTTGGTTTTTCCCAGATTAAAACTTTTAAAGCAGAATTTCCAGTCTAAAAACTACGAAAACAAAAACATAGATTTCTTGCACATCTCTCTTCACAGAAAACTAAACACACTCCAGAAACATATAGGTATTTTCCTGTGAGTCACTTCTCTTGATAATTACTCAATTTTTAAGTGAAGTGTAAAATACGTAAATGGCCTATGTTGTATTAGATAAACACAACCCAGTAGTAATGTCAGTGTTCTGAAATAGATTGGGTACTAGATATTAAATCATTTTACCAAAGGTCTCAAAACTTACGTTAGTAATTTTTTTAATCTACAAATGCCCTTGAGAAGCAAATCAGTATAATTTTATAAATATTTATTATTCATATTCTCTGATGTCCAATCTCCATTCTATACTTAATTCATCAGAAATGACCTTTTGTTCTCCCTTCTCAACTATCACTGCTGATTTTTTTT